CAAAACCTGTATAGCAAAAACTACAAAATATTGCTGAGAGAAATTAAAGAAACTTAAGTAAATGGAGAGAAATAGCATATTCAGGAGTTGAAAGACTCACTAAGGTTAAGATGTCAATTCTCCCCACATTTATCTACAGAGTCAATGTAATGGCAATTAAATTCTGGGCTTTTTGTGTAGAAACTGACAAGCTGATTTTAAAATTTAAATAGAAATGCAAATTACCTAGACTAGCCAAAATGATTTTGAGAAAGAACAAAGTTGAAGGATTTATACTGAGTTCAAGACTTACTATAAATCTACAGTAATCAAGAGAGTGTAGTGTTGGTATAAAGACAGGATATAGATCAGTGGGACAGAATTGAGAGTCCAGAAATAGACCCACTCACATGTGATCAATTTGCTGCAAAAGTGCCAAGGTAATTCAAGGAGGAAATGACAGTCTTCTGAAGAAATGGTGCTGGAAGAACTGGTCATTCACATGCCAAAGAATGAACCTAGACCTTTACCTCATGCCATGCACAAAATTTAACTTGAAATGAATCCCAGACCAAAATATAAGAGTTAGAAATATAAACCTTCCAGAAGAAATCATAGGAGAATATCTGTGACACTGGATTAGGCAAAGACATTTTAGATAGGACACAAAAAACACAAACCATGAAAAAAGACACAGATGAAATTAGACTTCATTAAAATTTAAAATGTTTGCTTTTTAAAAGACACTATTAGTAAAATGAAAAGGCAAGCCACAGACTAGGAGAAAATATTTGCAAAACATACCTGTTAAAGGATTTGTAACCAAAATATATTTAGAAAATAACCCTCTTACAACTCAATACCTGAGAAAACTTTTAAAAATTGACAGAAGATTTGACTGGATACCTCACCAAATAATATATACAATCGGCAAATAAATATACGTAAAGGTTCTCACCATCATAAGTCATAAGGAAAATGCAAAATAAAACTTCAATAAAATGCCACTAAAATGATTAAGATTAAAGAAGCTAAAAAAATGACAGAGTGATCACAGTAAGTGGTGGCGAAGATGCAGAGCAAATGGAACTGTCATGTCATATGATGAGTGTGGAAAACAATTTTCCCGTTTCTTATCAACTAAAATATACACTTATCATATGACCCAGCAGTCCCACTTCTAAAGGATTTATCTAGAGAAATCAAAACATGTGAATACAAAAGCTTGTACTCAAGTTTTCAGAGCAGCCTTCTTCATAACAGCCCCAAACTGGAAACAACCCACATGTCCATCCATCAGCTGGAACTGGGATAAAATCATCCATACAATGGAACACTAGTCAGCATGACAAGGGACAAACTCCTGACACAACAGAGGGGCACTCAGAGGCATGCTGCTGAACGAAAGAAGCCAGACACGAAAGACTATATACATATACTCTATGATTCGTGCATAAAATTCTAGAAAAGACAAATCTATAGTGATGGAAAGAGCATGGTTGCCAGGCTCCAGGAGGGGAAAGGAGGTTGCAAAAAGCCATGAGGGAACTTTCTGTTGTGATGCAAATGTTTTATGTAATGATTACGGTGGTAGTTACATGACTGTATCCATATGTCGAATCTCATCAAACAATTTGTGAATTTTATTGTATGGTAATCATGTCAATAAAGCTGATTTAAAAAATTCATTCAGGACTAGGAGAGAAATCCTTGCCTGTGCCATGGAAGTCAGAATAGTGGAAGCACTGAGCACCCATGAAGCGGCGCTAGATGCAGCCATAGGGAAGGAAGGCCAGTGAAGGAAGAAGGGTGTGTGGTGGTGGCCAAGGTGAAAGACAGCTGGAAGTTCATTACTAAGACAGAGGTAATTACCCGCGCTCTCCTGGTTTTTCTCCTGGTTTTTCATCACTCCTTCTCCATGTCCTTGGCTGGCTCCTTTTTCTCTTTCATCCCTGTGAATGTCTTCCAAGAATCTACCAGGGCCAGAGAAATGCCTTTCCTCTCCACCCCCCCCTGCCTGGCAGCCGTGTCCGTCATTTCTCTCCGGGGTGCTTATTCCGGCCTCCTTGCCCCTACCCCTCTCAGCACAGAACCCTGGGCTCCTCCTGGCAGGGCCCAGTTCCTCTCACCTCCACATCCAGCAGAACTTGCTGTTTCGTGAGCAAAGGGTTCTGATTACAGAAAGCCAGTGACAGGGCAGCACAGGCAAATCCAGGGTCCTGCCAGCTTTGATCCCCTGCCCTGGTGGCTGGCCCCTGGGATAGTCAGTGCAACCCCCACCTCCTGGGGCCTCCTGTCCTCTTCTGCTCAGACACTGGGCTAGTGAAGTCACAGGCCCACACCTTGACCACCCACAGAACCGTTTCTGCAAATGTAACCTTAGAAGGATCTGGTGGAAGGCAGGGCAGAGAGGGCTGCGGTCGGGGGACTGAGGGGATGTCCCAGTCTTGAGGCTTGCTAAGGCTAACTGACAAGCCCCATGGCCAGGCCCTTCTTCAGCCTTCCAGAATGAACTTTCCAGTGCTCCGTGGGGTGGGCATGGGCCCGGTAGGCCACCCCCTCAAAATTTCTCAGGGATCCAGCCTTCTCTCTTCTCTCCAGCCCTGTCCCCCATCTGCCTGTCTCTGGGAGGAAGCCCAGGGCTCTGCCTACCTTAAGGAGTAGGGGCAGGGCACCCCCTTCCAGGCAGATGCCCTGCTCTCAGCTCATGCTGCCCAGAGGGCAGGGGCCTCTGGGTAGCCCAGTGCCATTTCTGTCGAGTCACATGGCCCTGACAGTGACTAGTCCAGTCAGCCTTTCTTCCTATGAAGTGCTGTCGAGCCATATCTTTTTCGTCCCCTGTGGGGTGGCGGGGCAGGGGCCTGCCTGGGGCCTCTCGCCTCTGACGGCTGCAGGCAATGGACTCAGCTGGGCTGGCCTCTCACCGGGCACAACGCCCATGGGTTCCCAAGCCTTCGGGGCTCCCTGCTGAAGAACCAGACTCTCTGGCAGGCCCTCTTGCCTTGGTAACTCTTCGTTCCTTGGAGATCCCCAGCACTTCTTCTGGCTGACCTGGGAAGCTCTGTGTGAGGTTTCCCTTTAGGTCCTGGCCTTGGTGTGGACACAAACCCCTCCCCTTGCTTCTTGGAACCCAGAGAAAACCACGGAGGAGGGAGGCCTTCCCCAAGACTTTTCCCTGGGCTCCAAAACAGGAAACAAGGAGTGCACAGAACAGACATAGCCATGGGCTTGGCCTCAGGGCTCAGGGGCCCCCTCCCTGCACTAGCTCTCTGCTGGGATCCAGCCCTGCAGGGCCTCTCTGGTCAGGCCCGTTTATCCCGCGAGGCTGGCTCCACTTCCCGACCAGTCCCAGGAGCCTCCCTCCCCAGCTTCCAGTGCTGCCCTACATGTAGTAAGAGCAGATGCTTCTGACGGCTCATCGCCTGCCCGTTCCAGATCTTTGCCCATCTGATCACCACCAGTTGACCTTCAATCATTGGGCTCCCAGTTTACAGAGGGGGAAAAGAAGGCACACAGAGCTGGGCATAGCCTGCCCAAGGCCACACAGCTGGGGAGTGGCAAAGTGGGGACATGTGATCCTCTGTCATGTGGGTGGTAGGCATGTATGTGCAGTGGGTGCTGTGTGTGTGGCACGTGTAGGTACAGTATATGCTGTGTGTTGCTGTATGCTATGTGTGCAGTGTGCAGGGTGGGGGTGCGGTGTGTAAGAAACCTGACCCCATGTCTTCTGCTGCTTTGGGAAGGGCTGGAGAGCCACCAGTCTCTCTGGCCAAGAGAGGAGGCCTTGGCCTTGGTTGTAGTTGGGCCTGGTTAGTGTGGGGCTGTTTGGTCTCTAGCCTTGCAGGCCAACTGAGAAGACGGACCAACAGGGGAAAAAAGGGACGATCTCAGCCTAGAGTCTGGCCCTTGGTGACATGCAGGCCGCTGCCTTGGGCTGGGCTGGGCCTGCCTAGGCTGAATGAGGCCAGGGCCTGTGGCAAGGGCAGGGGAGGAGTGGAAAGAGGGTGTCTGGGATGGGGAGGAACCGATGGGCTAGAGGTTGGAGGGGGTCCTGGAGCCTGCCGATGGGAAAGGAGGTAGGGAGGGCCTAGCCCTGAAGCCCCTGGTGGGGAAGCTCCTTTCTCAGGCCCTGCACACAGGGTGCAGGAAAGTCAGCGTGTGATCTACGTCAAGTGTGTGTGTGTCTTTGAAGGCGTATGACTGTTTCATAAATTTAAGGGTATGTGTGTGAGGGGGTGGAGAGGGAGAGCTGGAATGTACATGAGTGAAGGAGTTCGGAAGCCCCCGCCTCCTAGGACAGGTAGCAGCAGGTGGGGGAGGAGGAAGAGGGCGGGGGTGTCCTTGGCTCCCACAGGGCCTTGGGGAGGAAACTGGATCTCTCAGGGCAAGTTAAGCCCTGGCTTGATCCCGCCCCACCCCCTCCCTTCCTGTCCCTCATCTCCGGCAAGCCCTAATTGATGAGGAGGAGGGGCCTTTGTGGGCCTGGGAGGCGCTAGCCCTCTGTGTTAGTGGGGATTCCATGAGCTCTCACCCCTTCCTCACCCCAGCCTAAAGAAGGACAGAAGGAGCCTGCCTTGGGCAAGAGGAGTCAAGCTTTGTCACGAAACAGCTGTGTGATCCTGAGCCAGTCCCTCCCATCCTTGGTCTCAGTTTCCCCTTATAAAATGGAGACACTGAACTAAGTGATTTCCCAGAGCCCAAGCAGACCAGACAAGTAAGGTGGGCCCTGTGGGGGTGGAGGCAGGCAGGGGCCGGGAGACGGGCAGGATAGCCAGCCTGGCGGTTGCAGCTGGGCCAAATTGAGGACCAGCGGATATGGGCTCAGGGCCCTCAGGAGTGCGATGAGGGTAAAGAAGTCTTGGGGACAGACCCGGGAGGGGCTGGGGCCAGGAAGGGAAGCAGAGGAGGCCAGAAGTCTACTTCCCGGTGCCACAGGCCGGAGGCCAGGGGAGGTGCTTGGGGGAGGGGGGAGGGAGGAAGTCCCCTCCAGGGCAGGTCACTCCCAGAGGCTGGGTTGGGGCGGGGCGGGCGATGGAGAGCAGATTTGAGCTCCTGGGACACCTTCGAGCCCGCTGCTGCCCAGCTTCCCAGGAGCCCGGGATCCCGGCCAGGTAAGGGATTGCAAGGGGCTCTGGGAGGCGCGCTGGTCCCTCCCGCCCAGTCCCCAGCTCTCCCATGGCCTCTGTCAAGGTAGGGGGGTCTGTTTGTTTGCCTTGGGTCTCCTGGGCTGCCTAGGTGGGTCCTAGGCTCGTTTTGTCCATCTGTCTGATTGTCTCTCTCTCTATCTTCCCCTGCCAAGTCGTGGAAGGAGCATAGCAGGGCCCCGAGGTCCATGCGTGGCTCAGTGGGGCCAGACCTCACCAAGTTTGATTGGGCTAAGGGTGTACCCCCAGCTCCTGATAGCTAGAAAACATACACGTACGCACGTGCATACATACAGCTGCATGCACAGGCTGGAACCCCCCACCCCACCATGCACACAGACACTGCCACTCTGGCACCTCTCTAAGGGCCTCTGTCCCTAGACTCTAGGCAGCAGCGGGGCTGGCCCTTCCGATAGGAGGTTGAGCTTGCTATCCTGTCTCCACCAGGCTCTCAGAACACCCGCCCCAGCTCATGGCTTCTACCACCTCCGGTAAGGTTCTAGCCACTGGGCTCCTACCCATCCCCCACTTGGGATGAGCCAGGTGGGCCGATTGGGGTTGGCTGGAAGGGGGTTGGATGAAGCCGAGCCTCTGTCACCCTCCTCTCCAGGTTGCTCATGGGGGGAGGGGAGCTCATGGCGGTACATACTGAGGGCTGGGGCTACCCTTCCCTCCCTACCACGTGAGGTGGGGGGGATGATGTGTGCTCTGCTGGCCACTGGCTTCGCCTGTCTAGTTGGAACCTCCTTGGGCTCTGGTCCCCCTGCACAACACACTGCCTAACTTGGCCCTCTCCCCCCATCCTTGCCCAGCTGTGCCCTGGACCGTCTCTCAATCTCTCCCACCTGGCAACAGCAGCAAGAAGAAGCCTGACGACCCCCGGGACCCACTGCTAGCTCAGGCGGAGCTAGCCCTGCTCTCCACAGTCTTTGTGGCTGTGGCCCTAAGCAATGGCTTGGTGCTGGGGGCCCTAGCACGGCGGGGCCGGCGGGGTCGCTGGGCGCCTATGCACGTCTTCATCGGCCACTTGTGTCTGGCTGACCTGGCTGTGGCTCTGTTCCAAGTGTTGCCCCAGCTGGCCTGGGATGCCACCGACCGTTTCCACGGGCCTGATGCCCTGTGCCGGGCCGTCAAGTACCTGCAGATGGTGGGCATGTACGCTTCCTCCTACATGATCCTGGCCATGACATTGGACCGCCACCGTGCCATCTGCCGCCCTATGCTGGCATACCGCCACGGAGGTGGAGCTCACTGGAACCGGCCGGTGCTGGTAGCCTGGGCCTTCTCGCTCCTTCTCAGCCTGCCCCAGCTATTCATCTTTGCCCAGCGCGATGTGGGAGATGGCAGCGGGGTCTTTGACTGCTGGGCCGACTTTGCCGAACCCTGGGGCCTCCGTGCCTACGTCACCTGGATTGCCCTAATGGTATTTGTGGCACCTGCCCTGGGCATTGCCGCCTGTCAGGTGCTCATCTTCCGGGAGATTCATGCCAGCTTGGTGCCAGGGCCAGCAGAGAGGGCTGGGGGACGCAGAGGAGGGCGCCGGACAGGCTGTCCCCGAGAGGGAGCACGGGTGTCGGCAGCCATGGCCAAGACCGTGAGGATGACGCTGGTGATTGTGATCGTCTACGTGCTGTGCTGGGCACCCTTCTTCCTCGTGCAGCTGTGGGCAGCGTGGGACCCGGAAGCGCCTCGGGAAGGTAAGTGTGGCTATGGCTAGGGCTATGGGGAGCACTCGGGCTTGGCCAGACATGCACCTCTACACCCCCACATACATATCCAGTCATGGGCTCACTAGCCCTTAGCGGGCACTTGGGGTCACACCCCTGCCCGGGCACCTTCAGCCCCAGCCTTGCTGCTCCACCCATAGGGCCCCCCTTCGTGCTTCTCATGCTGCTGGCCAGCCTCAACAGCTGTACCAACCCCTGGATCTACGCCTCCTTCAGCAGCAGCGTCTCCTCGGAGCTGCGCAGCCTGCTCTGCTGTGCCCGGAGGAGTACCCCACCCAGCTTGGGGCCCCAAGAGGAGTCCTGTGCCACTGCCAGTTCCTTCCTGGCCAAGGACACTTCCTCCTGAGAAGCCAGGGGGCGCCTTTCCTTCCAGAGGCTCCACAAAGCTCAGCTGCCTGCCTGGGGCTGACCCTGGAAGCCACTGGGAGAGGGCCTCCCCCCACCGAATGGGAATCGGCTCTGGATCGTGCGGGGCCCCAGAGGTCAGCTCCTTGGCACTGGGTATGGGGAGGAGCTGCAGTAGCATGGCGGTGGCCCATGGCTTCCGCTCTAGTCAGTGCCTGCCAGTGAGACAGAGGTCCCAGGGAGCCCAGGAGGAAAGAAAGGAGATGAGACCAGAGGACCTTCATTTCTCCATCTCTCTACTTCCCCTCAGCCCTCCCTTCTCACTCTCTCCCTAATAAAAGTTTCAGCTCATTTTCCACCCAGTGAGTGTCCTTGGATCAGGGCAACAGTGGGTGTGAGGGTGGCATGGAAAGACATTCTCAGACCTTCTCACTCCCACAGACACATGCATGGCTCTTGTACCCATGACGTAGGTGACTATCCCCAGCCCACACAGTCCCGAGCCAAGGGCACCCCTGGCGGAAGCTGTTCGAGCTGCAGAACATTCCATCTTTGGTGAGAGCTCTGGCATCTGGCCTTGAACAGTGAAGGGTACCGGGGGTTGGCCCTATACCCACCTGCCCAGTCCCCCAAGACAAGAGAACTGGCTCAGGTCGGGAAGTCAATGCACAAGTCTTTATGAATGGCTGCCAATGTCTGCCAACCTCCGCCAGCCCCACACCCTCAGCTGAGGCAGAGATGGGCCTAGGGACCGGTTGGCCTGCTCATCTGAGCAAGGGCACCTGCCACCCAGCAGCCACTGACGTGCCCTCACAGCAAAGCCAGGGAGGGGCCTGCTTGGGCAGCTGTGTCCTCCTCTCTGCAAAGGGTCAAGAGCAGATGCTCAGTGCTTGCTGGACAGGGCCAGGGAGAAGCAAAGGGCCTGGGGAGGGTGGCTGCCTGAGGTGAGGCGGGGCCTGCAGAGAAGCCAGCAGCACCTCAGGGTGACTTGAAGGGAGAGTCCAGGCCTTGGGGATGGGATGTTGAGGGTGAGGCTGGGGCCCCAGGGGTTCGGGAGAAGCCTTTGTTCTTGCCGAGGCGACTGCAACCTGGAGGCTTTGGGCTGCGGGACCCAGGGCTGGGGGAGTTGGTGGACACTGGCCCGAGGCTCTGGCGGACAGCGGTCTTTCCCAAGAGCTCCTTAAACACCGAGTCCATGGTCTGTGCCACAGCCTGGCAGAGGTGAGAAAGGGAGGGCATCTGGTGGGAGTGTCCCCCACTGCCCAGCCACTCCCCCCACCCTCAGGTCAGCGTGTTGCCGACTAAGCCAGGAATGAGGCCCTCCTACCCTCTACTGCCCAAGCCTCCACCAGAACTCCCCACTCCAAAAGCAAAGTCCTCCGTTACCACCCTGTCACCAGGCCTGTCCTCTCTGTGGGCCTGAGCTGCCAACCCCTTCTCCCTTGCCTGGTTTCCCTCCTGCCACTTTTGGTGTGGCTGTAAAGGCCTCTTTTGGGGACAGCAATCTTCAGCCCAGCCGTGAAATGGGGGAATCTGACTTGTGCCCCAGCCCCCCTCCTTCTCATGCTCACTCTCGCCCTGGCTGAGATCATAGCCACCTCCCAGGACCTCAAGGGCCGCCAGCGTCCAGGACCTCCTTGGTCAGCGTCCACCTGCACCTCGCCTGGCCTCACCTGCTGCCTGCCTCCCATGGGGGCGCTCAGCTGCCCCGCCCCCACCACCTGGTGGCTCAGCTCACCCCCATCCCCAGGCTCCTGGGCCTGGCTGCTGGGTAACACCCAGGATACTGCATGCTCTTGAGCTCTCTACTTGGGCTCAGACTGTCCCAGTGCCTCTGTCTCAGCTGGGAGGAGTGAACACCCATCAGGTAGGCACGCTGGGCCCATTGGACAGAGTAGGGACCTGGGCATCCCCAGGCTGCACCCCTTGCTGGGGCCGCATGCAGCCCCCACTGTCTCCACCTGTGAGAACCAGCTGTTCTGCCCAACTCTCCAGCCAGCCACCCCCTCCAGCCTTTCTTCCATCTGTCTCTTTCATACTTCCTGGCCCACCAAGCTCCTGCCATGTCACCACCTGTCACCTAGCGTGGCTCTAGATGCCATCCTTGAAGTCTGCCTGGTAGCCCCTCTCCCATACCACTCACCACTTCCAGCTCAAGAACCAACCATGAAGCCCAAATGCATGAGCCACCATGTCCCCCTCACCTCTGCCTCCGTGCCCATCCTTCCCCCTGCACTCACAGCCTTGCCAGCCTGCCCCTCCCTGGGTTGGGCTCAGACAGCCTGTCTGAGGCCAGCAAAGGCAGACTCAAACCTCAGAGAAGGAAGAATTTGGTTCATAAAAGGAGGCAGAGACACCCCCCAGGAGAGATGCCCCCCACCTGCCACTCAGCCAGTCCCAGCTCTCACCTTATCCACCTCCACATGTCGCTCTGGGGAGGTTGGGACCAAGCAGTGCCGTCTGTGCCCAGAAGGGCCCCCGGGTGGGGTGCATGGCTCTGGCCTGCAGGGCACAGACAGTGAGCCTGGTGGGGGCCCTGGGAAGTCCTTTCACTAAACTGACAGTGGCTCCTCTATCCCGGGGCGTGGCCAAGGGAAAGAAGACAGCGAGGCTGGCCCAGCAGGCCCATCTGTCCTTTGGCATCCCTCACCTGGACAACTCTCCCTGCACTGGCCCCCCACTCCGTGTGCCCAAAACCTGACCCCAAACCCCTCCAGCGGCCTGGCCCGGTGTCTGCTGCCTGGGTCAGGCTTGGCACCCAGAGCAGTGCTCAGGTTGGGGTGGGCAAGCTAGGCCACCAGAAGGCGTCTTCCCGAGGGGCCAACTTCTCCTTGCTCACCGTGGAAGGACGAACTCTGTAGCCAGGAGGCCCTCTGTACTGCTCAGCACGTCCCCTGCAGCCTGTGGTCCCTGGCCCACTGAGGGCTTCTCTGCCCTGGGGTCAGAAAGACAGCCTGTTTAAGGCGCTAGGGGCCAGTGGGCTCTGTCCTCAGTGCCTGCCAGAAGTGGTCAGGCACGCACACAAGCCTACAGACGCTGGGACTTGGGGAGGGGGAAGGGCCAGGACCTGGCTGGAAGAGAAGCTGTGGCAGCATGGGGCACATTCACTCACCCCCCGGGCAGCGTGATGTACTTGTGGGGAATGAGTCCCCGAGTGCCAGCACACTCGCCCCGCCACCAGTCGCCTGAGGCCCGTTCGTGCAGCCGCAGCACATCCCCACGCTGGAAGGTCAGCTCCTGGGCCGTGCGGCCCGTGTAGGAAAAGCAGGCCACAGCCTCCAGGACCCCCTCCAGGACTGGGGAGAAGAACAGGTCTGAGTGAAGGGCTGGAGTGGGCACCCAGGGTGGGGACAGAGTGGGGTCCTCCTTCCTACCCCCTTCACCATCCTCCTGGGCCGAGGTCCCAGTGTCCAGTTCTGGCTCATTCTCCCCTACCAGGCCTTCCAGCTGGGCATCCCTGAAGTCCAGAGCAGAGAGGCAGATGAGTGGTTGAGGGGGGTCCCCTCTATTGGACGTCCTCCTTCCCCCCACTCCCACCCCTCCACCCCTGCCAAGCAGCACAAAGAGCGTACATACCCCAGACAACTGGCGGAAGGCGGTGCCATGCACTTCTCATAGACGGGGCCCGGCAGCTGGGTCAGGGGCGGGAAAACCCGCGCAGGGTTCATGATGAGCGTCTGCACCAACTGGTTCACCCGGCCCTGCAAGGCCACCGGGTCCTGCCCAGCGGGCACGGGCAGCAGCGTCGGCCCGAAGCACACCGCCAGGTTGTAGGGGTCCATCATGTTCTCATCACTGTACTGGGCCAGGCTGGGGGCACATGCAGGTCACAAGCAGGGAGTTCCCTGACCAGTGTCCACTGCACCCTCCACCTCAGCCGCCTTTGCCCCTGGGAAGTACTCACTGGTTGAGGAAGGTGAAGAGGTAACGCAGGACCACCAGCACTGGTCCCGGCAGCCGGGCCAGGAGGCTGCTGACAAGCTCCACACGCTCTTCCATGGTCTCCAGCTCTGTGGCCAAGGCCACCATCCCAGAGAGAAGCACATGAGTGCGGTCACAGCCACTGGGGAGCGGCCCCTCCCACCCGGCTGGCCTCAGGCCCCGGCCTCACCTGCAGAAGCCAGAAGCTCCCCGAACAGGTCCGGGGGGAAGAGTGGAGGCTCCAGGCTCCGGAAGTAGAGCTTCAGCACCCCTGCCACTGAGTCCAGATCATGGGCTGTGCAGCCATCCACCAGTGGGTCCTCCCCTGAGGACGACACAGGGGACAAGGGCTATCAAACCTGCTCCACTTAGCTGCCCACCCCCATCCCGCATTACTTGTCCCCACCTCTCTCGAAAGCTTCTCGGATTTCTGAGACCCGGAGCTGAGCACCCGACACGCGGAAGATGCCCTCGTGCTGCAGGCCTGCAGGAGGACAAAGAGCCGGTGGGCACCAAGTCACCTCTCACCCCTGTAGATGGGTGCCGGGTGCTGGGTGCCAGGCTTACCGTTAAGGTTAATGAAGCGGACACAGCTCTCCACCACCAGGGGCACAGGCTGGCCTGAGCTCTGGGGACAAAGAGGGTGTTCACTTCACTCTGGACACGGCAAGTCCCACCTTGTCATTCGCTTGCTTTTACTTTCTCTTTGCAATGCATTGTGGTGGTCGGCAACCGGCAACAAGGCCCGGCACGTGGCTTTTAAGATTCACTCTTAGGTGTCTGATGTCCCTGGTGCCATTTTAGGCAGAGCCTTACATTTTACTTGCTGTTTATAGCTGGCATGTGAAAATATAATCCAATTCTGTATGATGACCTTCAATCAAGTAGCATCACAAAACTCAAATTTGTTCACTTAAATAGTCTGTTGACTCTTTTGAATGTTTACACACATAATCACATCATGGCAAATAATAGCTGCTGCCTGAGGCTTTCGGCAGATGCCTGCTACTAGTTAAGAACGTTCCCTTTGATCAGTGGACACCTGGCCAACGCCCACTTGGGAAGGTGGGTTGACCAGTAGTTGGCAACGGAGGATACTGTGGTCATAGGCAGCCTGGCCACAAACGTGGCCCAGGGCTGCAGACAGACCAGAACGCAGCGGAAGGGCCTGCACTTAGTTGGAGTATGAGGCAAAGCAAGTACCTGGATAAACTTCTCCATGTCTCCCCCGAAGAGTTTCTGGTTATACTGGGAGCTGGGGCGGGGGTGGCGGCTCTTCTGGAATTTTCTTTGTGTGTATTGTGTCCTGTGGTGAACGGGAGCTGGTTCTGAGGGTTGTGGGCATGGAAAATAGGATGCCCTACCCCCAGCTCCACCAACCAGGGCCCTGGAAGTTGTGAGTTATTCTGGAATCCATTGGTCAAAGTGGGAAATTGAGGTCACAGAGGAGAGGGGAGGTTGTGACATCACAGCTTGGCCCCTGTAGAACCCGAGCTCCTCGAAACAAACCAGCCCCTCGTGAAGGACTTACCAAGACACCTCCCGCTCCTCCTTGTCACCTAGGGAACAGAAAACATTAGTGTGCCTCTCAGGCCAGGAGGTCCTCAGTGCATCCCAATGAGAAAGGTGTGGCCTGAAGGTCAAGGGCGGTAGCAGGGCCAAGGGTGGGATAGAGGCCGGGACCCTTGCTGGGTTATTTCCTGCATGCCAACCAATCTCTCTGGGCAGAGAGGAGCATTAGCCAGGTGGGGTTCCCAGGCAGGAGAGCCAAGGGCGGGTGCTGCTCCTGACCCTGGAGGTGGGGTGGAAGGGACCAAGGGGACCAGGAGTGGGGTCCACCTCGCTGAATGGCCTCCTGCAGTTTCTCATGCTTGGCCTGTAACTTGGCAAGGACGCTCCGTCCACTCAGGTACTCCTGGAGCTTCTGGGAAATCCCCAAAAGAGACTGAAGTTTCAGTCCCGGCTCTGGGCTCTCCCTGTGCCCCACCTCTGCCCCCCAGCCCAGCCCTCCCTACCATGATATAGAAGGTCTCGGTCTCCTGCTGCTGGCCACGCCTCCGGCCAGCCTGCCGAGTACCCGGGTCTGAGCTGGTGGACTTGAGGGACTCGGTTGAGGGACTGGCCTGGAAGGAATCGAGCATGTCCCCATCCTCCAATGCCACCACCTCCAGCAGGGCCTGCAGTGTGGCCTTCAGCGTCTTATTCACCTGGGGAAGAGGACAGAAAGTCCAGGGCAGGAAGAAATGGGGGACAGGTGAGGGACAAGAAGTCCAAGCCAGAAAGAAAGGGGAGGAGAGGCCACGGACACCTGGCTCCATGTCTCCAAGTCCCTGTCCCCCTCCCCGGGCCAGGCCACTCATACCTCCTCTGTCTCGATGGTCTGTCGGTCCAGGCGGCTCTGGATATTCTGGGCTCTGGGCAGAATCTCGTCCCGCAGCTCCACCTCAACCCGGATGTCAGACACCTGCAGAGGGCAGTGTCCAAGGGAGTGAGAGCCGACAGACAGCTCAGCTGTGGGAGTGGGGCTGGGCATGAGGGAGCCGGGCACAATTCTACTGCCTGGTGTACAGGACTGCCAGGCCTTGACGCTTACTACTCGTGGTTCTGAAGAACGGCAAAGGCATCACCCCGAGAGAAAGGAGCACGTCCGTGCACACGGAGACCTTGCACGGACGCTCATGGCAGCACACTCCTAACGGTACAAAGGCAGCAGCAACCCAAGTGTCCGCAGCAGCTAATGAATGGCTAAGGAAGTGTGGTGCATACGCACAATGGAATATTATTCAGCCACAAAAAGGAATGGAGGCCTGACTGATCCATGCTACAATGTGGGTGAACCTTAAAGACATTCTGTTGAGTGAAAGGAGCCAGAGACAAAAGGCCATATAGCGTATGAGTCCATTTACATAAAATGTCCGGAAGAGGCAAATCCATAGAGACAGAAAGCAGATTAGTGGGTGCCGGGGGCTGGGGGGAGGGAGACAGGGAGTGACTGCTTAATGGGTCCAGGGTTTCTTTTTCGAGTGAATATGTTTTGGAATTAGATAGCGGTGATCGTTGCACAACTCTGTGAATATTCTAGAAGCCACTGAATTGTACACTTTAAACGGATGGATTGCATGTTATGTGATTATACTGCAATAAGGTGATCTATTATTTTTAAATGGTCAGGGAAGCTGGGGTCTGAGAGGGAGGGCCCAACCAGACCTCTCCTAAGGAGAGCAGAGGGTAGAAAACTTGCTTAGTTTACACAGGCAGAAACAGATTCCCAGGGGCAGAGTGGGGGATGCGAGGAGAAAGCTTTAGGAAGTGAAGAATTCCTCTCTTTGAACATGGAAACATCCAGGGAACTCGGATATCAAGTTAAAATTGAGAGTGGGGATTTCAGTTATCCACAGCAGGCTAAACACGCCCTGCTCCCTGCTCCCCCCAAGCCCACCATAAAGGGATGCATGAAGGCGTAAGTCACAGGGACACTGGGCAGAGGGGAGGAGACGATCGCATGTGAGAGATGTCAACAGACATGTAGAGGACGGAGGCCGGTGTATCTAACTCAACAAAGCCCAGACAGAAGCCAGTCAAAGTGGGCCCTTGAACACGGAAAAGCTCAAAAGATCGAGGCAGCAGATGCCTCCCAGGTGCAGGGGGCATAGAAACCAGGAGTAGCTGAAAGTCTAGCTGGAAACAGTACTGCGGTTCTTTAACAAATTACACATAGGGCCGGCCGAGTGGCGCAATGGTTAAGAACTGGCTTGGGACGCCAGAGGGCCCCGGTTCGGATCCCACATATGAGGGCCAGTGACACTGCCCTCTACAGCTAAGATGCTGAACAACAGCTCAACCTGGAGCTGGGCTGACGTGCGTCGCCGCCGATGGCATATGCTGCAGCCCCTGTGGCAATGGGTTGCCATGGGCTACCGTATGTAGCCAGCAGCCAGCAGCAAGTGTGAGCGGCCAGCAGCCAGCATGAGCGGCCAGCAGCCGCAGTGAGGGGCCGTCCAGAAGCCGGCGACTGATCTGCCTCGCCCGGGAAGAGTGCAATGATGGTGCCAACTTGGGCCAGTGAAGCAACGTCCTCCACAACTAGACTGAAGAATGAAAGGACAGCAACTTGTCTGTTCCCCTTCCCCCAATTCCCCAGCACTGTTCCCATCCCCCCAATTCCCCAATAAAAATCTTAAAAAAAAAATTACACATAGACTTGTCAGATGATCCGGCAATTCCACTTTTGGCTGTGTACCCAAAAGAACTGGAAGCAGGGTCTCAAATAAATATTTGTAGGGGTGACTGATTAGCTCAGTTGGTTAGAGCGTGGTGCTGATAACATCAAGGTTGACGGTTTGATCCCCGCATGGGCCACTGTGAGCTGCACCCTCCTTAAAAGAGTCAACTATGCCATTGTAGCATGAAAGCAATGTGTAACCAATGACCATGGCTGTTCCCCAATAAAATTTGAAAAAAAAAAAAAGATATTTGTACGCTCATGTTCATAGCAGCAGTACTCACAATAGTCAAAGGTGGAAGCAACCCAAGTGTCCATCGACAGAGGAATGGATGAACGAAACATGGTCAATCCATACAGTGAAATATTATTCAGCCTTAAAAAGGAAGGAAATTCTGACACACATTCTACATGGATGGAACCTGAGAACACGATGCTAAGTGAAATAAGCCAGTCACAAAAGGACAAATAGTACATGATTCCACTTGTATGAGGTCCCTAGAAGAGTCAAATTCATAGAAACAGAAAGTATAATAGGATGGTTGGTGCCAGGGGCTGGTGGAGAGGGAATGGGGGCATTAAGTGTCTAATGGGGACAGAGTTTCAGTTTGGGAAGATGAAAAAGTTCTGGAGATGGATGGTGGTAGTGGTTAATGTGCTTAAATGCCACTGAATTGTATACTTAAAATGTTTAAAATGGTAAATCTTATGTATATTTTACCACAATAATAAAAGTCTATCCAGGCTCTAGGGAGCACTGACATTAGAAGACCCACCCTCTCATAACCCACACAATTGGCAGAAAACTAGAGATTTACTCTCCGGAAAGGATAAATCATAGGGATTCTGGACTCAGGGACACCAGTCACAGCTGAAGGAGGGGACGAATCCCCCTACTGATGAGAAGGAGCAAAGCAGCCGCCACCACCTGGGGCTGGCCAGGCGCTCACAGCTGGTCTTGGTGCTGTCCCACTGAACATAAGGAATGTCACTGAGCATCAACATCAGACAAGGCCCCTTTGTGATCATGATGGTGAAGACAAAAACAAGACCACCATGTAATCATGCCTGAGTGCAGACAAAAATAAGAATGCTGTCCAAGTCACAAAAATCAGCAAACCTCCCTCTGTCCCGGCTCATATAAGTGACTGCTGCTTCCTCACACCGATGACAGTTTTAGCCTCCCTTAATCCCCAACCCTGTCTTCTAAATAACGTATTAAGACACACAGTCAGCGTTACCCCTGCTTCCTCATAGCATCCAAGCCAGAGTCAAGCCCCTTTCCAAAACCCCCCAATCCCAGCCCAAGTTCTAGAGTTTTTCCTAGCACCTTCTTACTGAGACACACCCCTCTGGTTCCCCACAGTGTTGGTCTCCCTCGCAGCAATGATGTGAGGCCCCTGCCCAGCCACCCTGTGGGGCAGCACACTGCTGACCAGCTCTGCTCACGCACATCACATATCTAATCCCCCTCTCCGTGCCTTCTCTTCAATATGAACTGATGGCCAAGCCCACCATTTCAGGGCATCTCGAAAATGGAAGACATAGATCAAAGCAAGCTTAAAAAAATAAAAACTGCAAGGAAACAGAGAAAAGGCGAGGAACAGAGAAACATGTCAAGAAAGCAAAAATAGGGCCGGCCGAGTGGGGCGATGGTTAAGAACTCGCTTGGGATGCCAGAGGGCCCCGGTTCGGATCCCACATATGAGGGCCAGTGACACTGCCCTCCACAGCTAAGATGCTGAACAACAGCTCAACCTGGAGCTGGGCTGCCGTGAGTCGCCGGCGACGGCGTAGGCTGCAGTCCCTGTGGCAGTGGATTGCCATGGGCTACCGTGTGTGGCCAGCAGCCAGCGTGAGCGGCCAGCAGCCGCAGTGAGCGGCCGTCCAGAAGCCGGCGACTGATCTGCCTCACCAGGGAAGAGCGCAATGATGGTGCCAACTTGGGCCAGTGAAGCGACGTCCTCCACAGCTAGACTGAAGAACAAAACGACAGCAACTTGTCTGTTCCCCTTTCCCCAATTCCCCAGTGCTGATCCCATCCCCCCAATTCCCCAATAAAAATCTTTAAAAAAAAAAAAAAAAAAAAGAAAGCAAAAATAAATATTTTAGAAAGATTTGAGAAGATAATCCATGACACAAGAACAAAGGGTTATTTTAAACAGGGATTTGGCAAACAAAACAGAACTCTTAGAAACAAAATATATGAAAGCAAATTTTAAAATAAAACTCAACAAGGGATTTAAAAAGATAGTTGAAGAATCTTTAAGAAAGCAGAATTAAAAGGCATAGTGATGGGACATTCAGGAAAGAGAACAGATAAGGAAATTAGAGAATCAACCCATGAGGTCCAATATTTAACTACAAGAATTCTTGAAACAAAGGCAAATTAAGGAGAAGAAATTATCAAAGAACTAACATGAGCCCAAAACCTAGGGACACAACTTTCCAGACTGACAGGGCATACTGGCTGCCCAGCACCATGAAGGAAAAAGGGTCCCCAAAGCATAGCATCATAAACTTTTACAACAGGGGGAAACAGACTTACTACCCTGAAAGCCTCACAGAGAAAAACTATAGGTCACATACAAAGTAGGAATGGCGTTGGACTTCTCACCTACATTATTGAAAGGGAAATGATTTTCTATCTTGAATTCTATGCCAAGCTAAAGTACCAATCAATTTCAAGACTACAGACATTTTCAGACATGCTCCAGCACAGGGGGTGTGGTGTGCACAGACTGCCTGGTGTGGCGGACAGGACCAAGAGGACTATTACAGGGAGACGGTGGTGGGGCTGAGCCCTGATCCCCCATGGAAGGAAGTCGGCAGAGCATATAGAAAGTTGAAAAGCAACTAGCAGGCTGCCGCACGATTTGAACACACAGAGGGAAACTCCAGAAGCAGCACTAGAAGACTGAGAAGTGGCTGTTTCTGGGGAGTAGGAATTGGGAACCGAAAGGGTGAGTCAGAGAACAGCTATGTACCATTGTAAGCCTTGAGTAGACTAACTTTTTCAACTATTACTTCGGTCAAAATACAGATTAAATAACTAAAAGCTCCATGTAATCCCAGCCCATGCACAATGCCCATTAGGATGTAAAGGAAAAAACATCTCGGAAGCAAGGAAAAAGATGCCTAGTTGTATTTTACTGCTTGTATGGTTTATTTCCCACCCCCCCCCAAGTTTGCATTATGAAATGTCTGAAACATACAGGACAATTGGAAGAAGAGTGTATGAACAGCTATATGCCCACCTACTCTCTGGCGTTAACACTGGTGATATTTTTGCTGTGTTTGCAGTTATGGGGTGGGCGGGTGTTCATTCGCTGGCTGAACTGCAGTGAGCTGCAGAAGTGTGCTTCAAATGCAAGTGCGGAGACCTCATTTGAGGCTTCGAGGCCATTCATTCAATGGGTCTGAGAAATCAGCTGCAGTCAGGAGTTTCAACTCCTGGGCAAAGTGGCATTCAATGAAGAGCAGACAACACAAAGCCATTGGCATCAATGCTGGAAACATTAAGGGGCAGGGGCAGTGACCCTCACCTCATCTCCCTCGTGGGGCTGGTAGTCAAAACGAAGCGGGGGACAGAAGGCGACTGCATGCACCTCCAACACCTTGGCCTTGTCCCCTGGAGGATCTAGGGCCTCCACTGCCTCTTCCAGGCTGCCCAGGCCCTGCATTTGGGAGGCTTGGGTGCGGCTCTCGGCAGCCGTGTAGCTGCGGAGCACCTGCCCCAAGGCCAAGTGGAACCCTGTGTCACAGCACTGAGGAGGAAGCGAGAACACAGCTCAGGTGGGCCCCAGCGCACTAGGCAACACCTCACCCCACCTGTACCCCTAGCACTTACGTCCATGAGGTCCAAGACATCATGCAAGTAGTAGTTGCTGACAGCAGCGTTGACACTGGCCAGGCTGAGCAGGTACTCGTTGCGTGCTTTTGTGCACTTGAGTTTGTGCTCCAAGAACTTGGCCTGACGCTGGTCAAGATCACACAAGCACACCAGCGTCACCTAGTTGGCCAGGTGACCGGCCCCCATCTCCGGCTTTCCATGGAACCCTCACCCCCTCACCTCCACACCCTCTCCCCACTCTCCTCCCCGTGTGGACAGCTTTGCCCCAAGTCCCACAGGCCCCTCGAACAGCATGGCCCAGAAGTCCTAACGTGCTCGCCCATCCCACCCCACCCCACCCTGCTGTGCACAAATCCTCCTGTCTCAGGATGGCAACCCCAGTTGCAACTCAGCTCCTCCCGGCTTGGCACGTCGACATCCTGGTATTCCCACCACCCTCAAGCTCCTCATCCTCTCTTCAGGGTCCACCTCAAATGCTCTTCAGCCCTGCACGTTGCCCGATCACCCATTCTACGTGTCTTCTCACCCCTCTGAAACCTCACAGCACTGTGTGAGGCAAGGAGGGTGGGTGGGAAGGCCCCAGGCTTGAGAGCACCAAAGCTGTGTTCACCCCAGCTGGGCTGGGGGACAGCTAGGAGCACGGGGGAGACAGTCAGTGTCCTCCTGACCTCTCTGTCTACCACTCCAACTTGGGGAGCCCTCCAGAGCCATCAGGGATGACCAGGCCTAGGTCCTCCCCTTACAGCCTTGCTGGGGGTCTATGGTTTCCCCTCCTCAGCCCTGCCTTGTCCCTCCATGCACCACCTTCCAACAGGCTGCCGTGAAGGCTAGGGACTCGCAGGGACAAAGGCCAGGAAACAGAGCCTTCAGAGACAGACAGGTGCCCTCCAGGCCCACCTTCTCCACCAGCCGTGATCCCTTCTTGAGGGAGGTCTTGCGGAGGGGCCCTGCCTCGGTGGTGGTGGCAGTGGCGGTGGCGGCGGCGGCAGCAACAGCGCTCCGGCCTGTCCTCTTTTCTTCCTGCCGTTCGGCTTCCCGGAGCTTGGCCTCAGCGTTCATGCTCTCCGTGTGGTACACCTGGTATGTCTTCTTGGCCTGCAGGGACGTCCAAGGCCAGGCAGCTCTGCTGAAGGTGATGGCCCCGGCCAGCCCTCCCCCTCCTCCTCCCGGCCCCTCTGGGACTCAGACCTAAGAGCTAGGTGATCACAGGTGAGAACTTAGCCCACCCACCCTGTGCCCAGAGCAGAGACCAAGGGCCGTGCTCATAGTCCTCAAATCCCAGGTCCCTCCTGGGCACCCGATCTTCCTCCTTGAGCCTGGCTTGGGGAGGTGGGATGTGATGGCCTCCCCTCTGATTGGGGCATGCCCTGTTCCATCCTCACCGTCTGAAGCTCTGACACCACCTCCAGCAGCTCCTCCTGCAGCTGTTGCTCCAGATCCTTACTCTGGGGAGGAGGGGGAATGTGACCACATCACTGCTGTCCTGGGGTGGCCGCCACACCGCAGCTCAGCACTCAAGGCTCAGGCTCTAACCAGCTCCCCGTGCGCCCTCCCAGCCCTGATGCCTCTGGATCGAGCACCCACGGGCTGAGCTCGCTAGGTCCAGGGGGCATCCACGCTTCCTGTGCCCGGGGCAAGGGCCTTACCTTCTTGACAACGCGCCCCACATCGTCTGCAATGTGGCTCAGGCGCTGAGCCAGTGGCCCGGCCAGGACCTCGCCGAGGGCCGCACTCTCCCGGCTCTGTTGCCGTGTCTGCTGCAGCAGCACGGCCCAGCAGTGCAAGGATGACAGGAGGGACGGCTCCTTCCTGAGGGCAGAGGGGCACTCAGACCAGAAGCGGGGCCTTGTGCCCTGCCGTGGCCATCCTGTCAATGAGGACCTACCGGAAGCTTTGGTGCTCCCGGCTGCTGCCCCCCAGGCGGCCTCCTCGGCTGGAGAAGCGCTCGGCCAGCTTGTCCAGGCCACGGGAGTACTCCAGCTCCACATCGGCACGGCGCCGCATGAACTCAGCCAGCTCCTGCAGCAGCTCCCGCCGCAGCTCCCCCTGCAACTCCAGGCAGCGCAGTTGCTCACTCAGCTGCCAGCGCATCTCTGTGGGGAAACCGTGGCTCAGGCCCGGGCAGCAGGCCGTCCTTTCTGCCCTGAGGGTTAGGGCTGGGGCGGAGGAGGAAGAAGGAGGCCGGCCCCTAGGGAGGAGTTCCAGGTTCAGCTGTTCCCCGATGGGTTCAAGACAGGCCTGAGGAAAGGGACCTCTGGGCTGAGGCTAAAGGGAACCAGCCATGCCCAACTGGTTGAAGATGAATGGAAAGGCTGTTCCAGGGAGAGGGGAGAGCCATGCAAAGGCCCAGGGTGAGAGGGAGTATGGCAAATCTAGGAGGGTTGCAGCCAGTTGTGATGGTGGGAACAGAGCTACCCCAGCCCCGTCTTCCCCTGTCCCTAGCCAGGCGCCTTTCACTTGGGCTTCCTATCACGCCTCGGTTCCTGGAAAGCCCCTGCATCGCTTCCCCTGCCACTTCCTGCCTTTCTGGTGCCTAGGACTCCAGGCACTGCAGCCTCCCTGCGAACACAGACACACAGGACCGCGCCGGGGCAAGGCTGTTTTGGCGCGCTGCCAAACCTATAGTGAACTTGAGGCAAAAGGGCAGCCCCATGGTGATGGCCAGCAGCCGGGGAGTTGGTCAGGGCTGAGAAGTGAAAGGAGCGAGGAAGCTGGCCTGTTTTCTGTCCCCAGTTCTCACTCCAGATCACCCAACCCCAGGACACCCCAAGCCCCATCTCCCAACAGATAGAGCCACACCCAGGGCCCCCACACTGCTGGTTTTTGACACCTTATCACTGGCTTGATTGGGCAACGGTGCTTTCCCCACACAGACCGAAAGCAAAGAACCGCCTGAATGACAAGCTTAAGCAACCCACTGCACACTTTTGCCACCCACTGGGTGACCAGGTGGGCACTGGGGATCCTGGGTAAATAAAGCACTGTCTTGGCTTCTGTCAAGCCGGTCACCCACTTACTAATCTCTGCCCACATGCCTAGGGAGGGCCATTAATTGATTTCTTCATTCAGCAGAATGTTGATTATGTACCCAGTCTGTGCCAGGCATGTTCTAGACACAGAGACAGTGGCAAAGAGGCTTGACCAAATGCCTGCCCTCATGGGGCAGAGATCGGAATGGGGGAACTTCCCAGGGACTGTGGGGCCTCAGCGGGTTCTGCCTGCCTGGCATCCCCATCTCCTCCTCTGATGGCCCTTTGGAGAACACTCCCTTCCTATTCTCAGCCCATGTCCCTCTCCCGGACTCCAGGTGCCCCAGTTGTGGTTGCATGCATAGCCTGTCCCTGGGCCCCTCCACTACCATCCATCACCAGGACTGGCTCAGTGATGGGCCCAGGAGTCACAGTCCTCAAACTTTCACTAGAATTGCTGAACAGGTGCTCTGTTTCCACCAAGGGATCAAGCTGGGAAAATGGAAGCCTGGGGAAGGCGGTGGAGGTGGGGGTGGCTTCCTGACAGTGAAACCAATGCAGACCAGGGCAGAGCCAAGCAAGACAGTGTCCTTATATCATCTGAGGCCAGGCTCCACGTGGAGCAAGTTCTATAGCACTTGCAATCAGGAAAGTCTTCATTGAATCTGGGTAACATTTATTTGGATAAAAGGAAATTTCATTTCATTTACAGACAGTGTCTGAGACCTCCCAGCTCATCTCACCTTCCTCTGGTGTTTGCCCCAACCTCCCGAAGCAGTAGCTCCCTGGGGAAAATTGCACAGTGCTAAATGAAACGGCCCGCCAAACTTTCATTTATTCTTCAGGGCAGCCATGCCTCAGTCAGGATCTGGACGTGGGCACTGGCTGATGTCAAGTAGGAGACTTGTGAATTAGTGCCATCTGAGCACAGTGAGTTGGTGCCTAGCCCCAGCCCCTAGGCTGTGTCGCTGCCCACCTCTCAGGTCTCAGCTCAAATGCACTTATCAGGGAACCCTTCCCTGAATCTCCCCCCAAACTAGGACTGGCCCTCTTCCCACCCCCTTTCTTGACATTGTGTTTTCCCTTTATGGTGGTTAGCATCAAAATTGAAAATAATTGGGCTGGCCAAGTGGCACAATGGTTAAGAACTGGCTTGGGACGCCAGAGGGCCCCGGTTCGGATCCCACATATGAGGGCCAGTGACACTGCCCTCCACAGCTAAGATGCTGAACAACAGCTCAACCAGGAGCTGGGCTGCTGTGAGTCGCCAGCGACAGCGTAGGATTCAGCCCCTGTGGCAGTGGGTTGCCATGGGCTACCGTGTGCAGCCAGCAGCCAGGGTGAGTGGCCAGCAGCCGCAGTGAGCGGCCGTCCAGAAGCCGGCGACCGATCTGCCTCGCCCGGGAAGAGCGCAATGATGGTGCCAACTTGGGCCAGTGAAGCAATGTCCTCCACAACTAGGCTGAAGAACAAAACGATAGCAACTTGTCTGCTCCCCTTCCCCCAATTCCCCAGCACTGTTCCCATCCCCCCAATTCCCCAATTAAAAAAAATTGAAAGTAATTGTGTGATGGCTTATTTACTAGATGTCTCCCCAACGAGACGTGTGAGCCATAGGAGGGCACGGACTGGCTCTTTTGCTCAGCAATGTATTCCCAGGGCCTGGAACAGAATAGATGCATACTAAACATCTGTCATAAGGAAGGATGGAATCCACTATGCTCGGGGCCCCACCAGCACTTCCTGTGAGCAAGGCCTAGGTCTCACTTCTGCTGACAAGCAAAGCAGAAGAGAAGATGGCCTCCCAAGCACGACTATGCTGACCTTTCAGAATTTAGGCTGTCAAGACAGTGATCCTTTTTTCTAGCATGATAGGAAGTTTCTGTTGGCGGGGGTGGGGGTGGGGAGCAGGGAACAGAAGCTAAAATCCTTGGAGTCCCAGAGCAGGTAAGGAACATCTTCAACTGCCTTCCTCAAACCCCCAATTTTTCAATGTGAATTAATTGATCCATATTTGCTGACTGAAGAGTTTCCAAAGTCCTTCAGCCTCATGACGTTTTGGGGAAGCAGAAAGGGGATCATTATCTTCATCTGAGAAATGATGAAGGCGAGGCTCGGAGAGCTGGCTCGACCTGCACTGTTGCCTCAAGCTGGCTCTGGGTGGCAGGCCGCTTATCTCGGGGGGGAGGACTCAGACATACTTTGGTGTTAAGTTGCTTGCATTGATAATAACGTTCGAACCTGCATCTCTGGGTTGGAATGAACTTCAAGGGTCATTTCATTCTACCTGCTAGGAGCTGTAGTGCTGTGTGACCACCAGCAAGTCACTGCTCCTCTCTGAGCTTCAGTTTCCTCCCTTGGTAAAACGGACGGACTGAGAATGATACATGGAGTCACACATCTAAAGACACCAGGAAACTTTATGGCCCCAAACTGCTGGTGCTTGGATGCTGCCTTCTTTCCTTTGCAAGAGTTACCACGCCCTGAACAAGACCAAAGAAACTGTCGACCACGAATTTGCAAAGCTGATTTGCATGTGATTTGCACAGTGTTTATCAATACCCAAAAAGGCCTACTCTTCAGAAAGCTTTGAGGCTGACCCTGTTGAATCTCTCAGGCCAAGATTCACTGCGCCACCTTGACCTAGAGACAGTGGCCCTCAGCTCTGATCTACCTCAGTGCCCAAGGGAGGGCAAAGGGGCTGGGATCCAGGGACTGAAGTGGAAGTGGTTCAAGGACAAAGCCATCACTAATCTATCCACCTAGGCACCTAGACTCCCTCACCCGGACCCCCTCAGCAAAACCAAGGTGATCAATTCGGATAAGATGCCACTTTTTGTGTGTGTGGGGGTGCGCCTTGGTGTACCCGGAGGCCCCTTTCGCTCCTCCAGCTCCTTGGGTGAGGTGCAAGGCGAACCAAGGAGGGCAGTGAGACCGAAGGAAGGGAGGGAGGGAGAGAGGAAGGGGGGACGGCTGGCGGTTGAGGCCAAAAGGGATCCGAGAAGCGGGCAGGGGGCTCGGGCTCCTTCACTCAACGCCCCCTCAAGAGGGCAGCGGGCCCTGGGTTAGAGGTGGGACTTCTGGGGCTCCCCCACGGCCTTCGGGGTCTCCACAGGGAAACTGGCCGGGAGCTCCCATCGCCCTCTCACCTTTCACTTGCGTCTCATACTCGGCCTGCAGCCCCCGTTCCCGGCGTAACTTCCCGTGAGCGGCCATGGCGGCCGAGTGGCCGCGCCGTCGAGCCCCGCTGCTTCCACGCGGCCGCTAGCGGGCCGGGCGCTGGGACCTGGAGCTCTGCAGCCCGCACCCTGCGCCAGCCCCGCCCCCGCCCCCGCCCCGCCCCCAGTGCTCTTCGGGGCGGGGCGGCCCAGGCCTGGCGCCGCGCGCGAGGGGGCTCCTGTGGGGGTCCCACTGCCCTGGCCTTGCCTCCCTTCCCTCTGGGAGCTGGGCTGCACCTGGGGTGCCTTGTGCCCCAAACTCTGCTGCCAAGAGGCCAGGGCTGATGTGAGAGCCCCAAGGTGCCCGGCAAGCTGGCACCCTCTGCCTGCTGTATCCCCACCTCCAAAAGGTTGTCTGACCGCCACTGCCAGACAGCACCCTTCACAGCATGGCCGTTGGCCCTCAATGCCAGTGGGCGGTGACGCCATAGCTGCTACAGGTCCTGAACTCCCCTGGGTCAGCTGCTTCCCCCAGAACCCCAGGACATCAGATGGGGCCCATCCTTCCCAAGTCACAGCCCTGACAGACAAGTGCAAGGAGCCTGGAGAACGGGGTGGAAAGTTCCAAGGGTGGGGTGGAAAGGAAGGTCAGCACCAAAGAACAGAACCTCAGCAGTTGTTGCCTGCAGACCCCCTAGCGAGGGGGAGAGCAGTGTTCAGCTAAGGTTCCCCTTCTGTGCCCCATAGGGAGGAACAAGCCTCGTTTCCCCATAGGTGGTTACCACTTCCTGCTACCGGAAGAGACTCTTCTGCCTCCTTTCCCCTGCAGCTTGCACCTGCCCTGTCCTCGGCCTGGGGGTGGGGGGACAGCCTTCCTTCTGCCCCCTCAGAGCAAGGCCTTAGCAAGTCTGGGGGTCTCCTTTATCCAGGGGTACTGCAGTTTCCCTCCGCCACCTCAAAGCCACAGGGCAACAGCTTTTCTCCAGTAAATTGGGAAGGCAGGATGCAGGTGGCAGGTGACCAGCCAGCCTATACGACTGTCTTCAGTTAGGTGGCAGGGAACCCCCTGGGGCCTACATGGTGGGAGAGGGGTGAGGTCCTTAGGCTCTGGGCTTGTGCCCGGGGAGGCAGGCCTTTAGGCACTAGTGCAAGGGGTCCAGGCCTGTGTGTGCATGGATGTCAAAGTCAGGCTCTATGCACACGTGAGCACACGTGACCTCAACCTGCAGCTCTTCAGGAGGGAGAGGAGGTTATGCAGGTTACTTCCTGCCTTTCAACTATAAGCAATGCTCTTGCCCAGAAAGGGAAAACATACCTCCTCAGCTCACTGCCCTTCCCCCCCAACCCACCCCAGTACCAAAGCCCTTCTCTAAGATGCCATGTGTCCATGGAGACTGGGGCTGGACGGCCTGGGAGCTGGCTATATCCCAGCAGGCCCAGGACCTGGGTTACCAGTAGCTGGTCTCAGGTGTACCACTGTTCAATTCCTCCAGCAAGGTGGGCGAGCCTCCTGCCCCTTCTGGCAGCAGACAAGGGTGCACCCACCCCCGAACCTGCTCCTGTGTCAGGAACCCAGGCCCCTCATCAGCTAACCCCAACACACCTTGCCCCCTACCCTCCATCTGAGCCCTGAGTAGTCCCCCAAACAGAGCCTGGCACAGGACTCAAGCCCACAGGAAACTGCTGAACTGGCCTCAGCTCCTATTTTTAAATACTCTCCTTTATTTTTCTGACTTCAGAAATTCTGACTCCAGAAATACTGACATGATGCCCCATTCCGCCACTGCTTTAAAACCTCAGATAATTAGCCCCGGCTTTTAGGACACTTGTTTGGCATTTAAGGCCTTACTGCTTGCTCTATCCTCAGCTCCACTGTTCCCAAAGAATCCAATATCTCTATCCCGCAGGAGAGGATCAGATCTGTGGGACCTTGCTAACTCTGTTGCTGAGTGGAGGGTACACTCTGTCCTGAGGGGTGACTGCAGGGCTGACGTGGTCATGTCTGCTGTTTGGATGATGGGCCAGAAGGGAGATGAGATCAATGGGGAGGGTGTTACAGTCGTCCACAGCAGAGCAAGACTAGATGACAGACAGCATGAACTGGGCAGTGGGGCCCCTCTTATTTTTCCTCAAGTCAGCTTTGCAGAAGTGACCTCTGGGGACTTCAGAGGTCAGTGTTATGCACCTGTGTGTATAGGTTGAACCCCTGGGGCGACGTCCCCGGAGGGTTCCTTGAGCCCACCCCCATTCACAAGGCGAGAGGGTAAGGGAGCCTGCTTTCCTTCTCTAAGCCTTCCAGCCTAGGCTAGGCTCCTAGGCACAGAAGCAGCTCCTCCCAGAGGCGGGTGCTGCAGAGACGGGGGAAAATGCTGGGCCCCAAGGACCAGTCGGGCCTGCGGCTTCCCCTTTCTTCCCCCCGCAGTTCCCACCTCCGCCCAGGAAACCCAACCGCCTGGGGGCAGCCAAGCATCAACGGCCCGCCTGGGACGCACGGCCAGGAGGGCAAAAGGCGGGTCCGGTCCCTGCGAGCCCCGCGAAAGAAGGCGGGCGCCGCAAAGCTCCGCAGGCTCGCTCCCTCCCACCAGCACTGGGGCGCGGCCCAGGCAGCGCGCATGCCCGCTCGCTGCCGCCGCCGGACCAACCGGAGCCTGGGAACGAAGCCCGCCGCGGCTCGCGAACCGGAAAAGACTGACGCCAGGCGCGGAGGGCGGGGCGAGGCCCTTCCTCCTGCCCCAAATAGGAGTGCGCAGACGCATCTTTCCGGCCCCGCCCCCAGCCTCTAGTTTCGCTCCCCCCTCCCCGCTGCCTGTTGGTCACGTGCCAGGCGCCAGCCAAAGAGAACCGACTATTCAGTCTGGCCCGGGAAGCAGTGTGCCCTCTGTGGCAGCACAGGATAAGGTACAATGACAGCTCAGGAGTGCTGAGCTTCCCTGGGAGGTGGGCAGCTCAGAGCCTGCTCAGGGACTAGGAGCAGCAAGTGATGGCACTGCAGCTAGAGGGGAGGGCCCAGGAGCAAATTTTGGGGTTACAGTGAAGCCATGAAAAACGGAAGGCTTATATTCTCCATGAAATGACACTATGCATTTGTCAAAACCCATAGACTATACAACACAATGAGGGAGCTGTAAACCCTGGACTACAGTTAACAATAATGAGTCAATATTGGTTCATCAAGTATAACAAATGCAACCATCAATGCAAAATGTTAATAGGGGAAACTGAGGCGGTAGAAGGGGTAAGTGGGAACTCTTACTATCTGCTCAGTTCTGTAAACCTAAAACTGTACTAAAAATAAAGTCTATTAATTATTTTCAAATTAAGGCTTAGGTTAGGGAGTGGATTCAAAGTGTATTATGGTTGCCAAACACCCAGGACTCACTGACAATTTAGATGGCAGGGGAGGGGGGAATGAAGGACAGTGGTCCGGACTTGAGTAACTGGGTAGCTGGTTGGGCCACTCACTACCCAGCTAGGACCTCAGCAGATAAGCCCAATGAGCAGCTGGACTTAGGCATCTAGAACCCAGCAAGGCAGTGGCAGAGCAGGGCTCAGAAGGCAGTGTCTGCCCCCAAGGTGGGAGTGGCTCCAAGAACTCCAGGGTCTCCCTCCCTGGGGTCCAAAGATGCTGAAAACCATCAGACTTGGGAGCCCCACCTCCAAAGCCCTGACAAAGCTCTTCCCTTCTACTTGGGCTTTGCAGGACGTGCTGTGCCAAAATGCTGTGAGGTCCACATCCATAGGGACACAGCGGGGCCTGAGAGAGGCACGCCCCCCAAATGTGCACACTCGCACACACAAACCCCCCAAGGCCACTGGGTGAAGTTTATTGTGAAACCTTGAGGGGTGAGGATGGGATGGGCAGGGCAGGGTGGAGAGAGGAGCACTTGCAGGCTCTAGGAGGCTGAGTCAGAGGCCTCTGAGCTGTCCTTGACATCGGTGCTCTCTGTGGTCTCGCTGACCTCGCTGAGGTCCTTGCTGTCACCACCGCTATCTTCAGCAGCCAGGCCCTTCTCCTCACGACAGGCCTCTCCTGAGCTTGGAAGTGAGTTGCCCTTGCTCTCCACCTTGTTCTCGATGGAGCCCAGCACGGTGTGCCTGCCCTTCTCCTTCAGCTCCAGGTGCCGCCTCAGCTGCCGCCAGAAGCCCAGGGAGAAGTGGGAAAAGGAAAGGACCTAAGTCTCCAGACCACGTAGGTCCTCTCCGGCTACCCAGGGGAGCCTGTGCCTGTCACCTTGCTGGGGGGAGGGGGCAAAATAGGAGGCAGCAGGGCCAGGGTAGGAAATGCACGACTGTGTTGGGCTGCATCCTGGCTCAGCCCTCTGTGGGCCTGTTTTCTCTCCTGTCAAAAGGAGGGTGCTCATGCCTCCCTCACACGGGCTGCTGCAGGACCTTGACTGTCCTCAGCGCTGAGCCTTAGGGCAGGCCGTGGCTGTCCCCGGGCCCTCACTACTCTCCTGGGGCCCTCGCTCTCAGCGAATCCAGGGGCCTCCTCCCTTGCCTCTCACATCACCCTATGGGGTGGCACAGGCTTCTTCCTGAGCGAATGGAATCTTGAGCCGAGGTGACCTCCCTCAAAGACCTGCCAAGGCCCAGCTCGCCACTGACAGCTGAGGAAAGTTAGGTGATGAGGGCCATGACTCCCAGCAACGTAGCCACAAGGGCTGGCACCTGGTCTAGCTCACCTCCAGCCATCGCAGGCCTCCTACGGTCTCAGGGCCCCTGGGAGCTTTACCTTCCCTCCAGCAGGGCCTCCCCTGTTTGCCTTGCTTGTCTGTATCTGTGGGGACTGTGGCCCTGGCCCCACTAAACTTTTACCTCATCAGCCATCTGGGTGAGATCCCGCTTCATCGCATATGCATCTTCCCCATCTGCATAGTATTTGGGCTCCACTTCGCTGATCCTGTGGGTAGGGGGTGGAGAGAAGGAAGATGACCCAAATCAGGGGGCAAATGCTTTTCAGCCTTCTGGCATCATATGCTAGTGGGGCGGCGTGGCATTCCCCCTTGAAGGACTCTTTTGGAGACAACGAGCCCTGTTTCCAACATGGCCTTCCCTCTGCTCTCTCCAGCAATAAGTAGTGCCCAGAGCCTTTATCCCCACCCCCCGCCCCGGGTCCTGTCACTGTCCTGCGTCCCTAACTTGGCTACCAAGATCTGTTTCTGTGGTTTCTGGTGAACTGAAGCCCTGAATTAAGCCACACCCTTCCCTCCCTGTCCTGTGCCCTGTCACTTACTGAACACACATGGCCGGTTCCTATGCCTAGCACTCAGAATCAGGGAGGAGTGGTGCTGCGGCCTATGTTCCTGATAGTCATTGCCAGGCAGCGTGGCCCCTGGCCCAAGCAGCTCAGGGGCTGAGCCTTCACTGGAGGTGTGCGTGCAGACTTGGGCACCCAGCCACTGAAAAGGGAGCTGGACTCAATGGCTTAGAAAGGCCCTGCCAGCCCTAAGCCCCTGGAATTGCTGACTACCAAAGGCATCAGCACCCGGGTCAAGGATCTTTCCTCAAATGCCCTTCATAACAGCCCCTTCTCATCCCCCACCAAAATGAGGCTGAGTGCTGTCTCGGTGGGCCCGCCACGGACAGCCTGCCCCAGCCTCACTTTCAAGTGGTTTTCGTCACCGAGTACTGGGCACGTCGATTCCCTGCCAGGCTCTCTCTGTCCTGTGCCAGGCACACAGTGACTCCTGCATCCCTGAGCAGACCTGCCCTCACCCACCAGGATGCCCAGAGCGTTAGCTCCCTCCACTCCTCATGCTGATGGCGTGTCCTTCCTACCTGGATGTACTCAGGCTTCTACAGCACCACATTCTCCTTTCTTCTGGTTCCGCTTAGATGCTTTTAGATGCCTGGCCACTTTGCGTCCTGCCCCTCGGGTTTTGCTCTTGTCCTGGGCCCCCATCTCTACTCCCGAACCTTCACTGAAAAGCCTCTGCTCTTCACTACGCCCCAGCCTACCCTCAGCCAATATCAAGCCACCGCTCCTCCACCCAGCAAGACACACCACACATCCTACTGCATCACAACATGCCTCCAGCAGACGGCAGCAGGTCGGTGCCATCGCCACTGAGAGTGGAGGAGGCACCCTGGCAATGTGTGTGGAGTCCATGACCTGCTCCCCATCTCAGCCGCCCCCAGCCCCCTGCCTGGAAGGCAGCTCATCCCATCTCCGCCATCAGGATAAGCCAGACCTGGGACCACCCCACTCCAGTGGCAAACTGTAGATCTACTTACTGAAAGTTGAGGGTGTTGGAATAGAGGTGCAGGGCGGCCCGGTTACTGCAGGGGAATAAGGCACCGCTGAGCTTCACAGACTTGGCCAGGCAGGGACAGCACATCCAGGTCCTGCCCTTCGCAGTCCCCCTCCCCACGAATCCCACTTCCCAGATCTTTCCCAAAAACCAGGGCACTCCAGGACCCACATCAAGATGGTATCTCCTCCCCACTGCCCCCCTTCCCTCAGCCCCAGCTTCCACCTCTTCCTGACATGCAGGGAGACGTATTTGGCATTGAAGTTCTCGATCATGGCTCGGGAGGCCTGGTCCATCAGCTTCTGAGCCAGGCCGAGGCGCCGGTGGGAACGCTTCACAGCCTGGTGGGAGAAGGGTGAGACCTCAAGGGCTGCCCAACCAACCCCTACTTCCACCCCCACCAGCGCCTGGGTGGGCCCTACGCACCAGTGAGGTGATATGTCCGTGGGGCACGTCATCTGGGTCCTCTTCCCTAGAGCAAGAAGAAAGAAGAGAGGCTAGCAAGGAACGTGATGCAGGAGCAGCTACGCCCCGCACGTGCACATGACCGGAGTACAAACTCCTCTGGTTGGCCCCAAAGTCCCCCCAGACCTGGGGTGGGGGAGAGCTGGGATTCTCAAAACCCCACACAGCAGCCAAAAGACAAGTGCAGTGTCAACGGAATACAATGGAATATTGTTTAGTGATAAAAAGAAATGAGCTAGCAAGCTATGAAAAGACATGGAGGAACCTGAAATGCACATACTAAGAGACAGAAGCCAATGTGAAAAGGCTATATAGTGTATGATTCCATCTTGACATTCTGGAAAAAGCAAAACTATAGTGACATTAAAAAGATTAGAGGTTAAGATGGGGGGGAGATGAATAGACAAGGACACACAGAGGATTTTTAGGGCAGCGAAACTACTCTGCATGATACTCTAATAGTGAATACATATCATTAAACAATGGTGTAAACCTACAGAAAGTACACCAAGAGGGACACTTAATGGGAACTAATAATATAGCAATGTTGGTTCATCCATTGTAATAAATATACAAGATAGTACTAACAGAGGGAATTGGGGGGAGGGGGGGAGGGAAGGGGTATATAGGAACTCTCTGTCCTTTCCACTCAATTTTGCTGTAAACCTAAAACTGAGCTAAAAAAACAGTCGATTAATTAAAAAAACCCCAGGCAGTATCCACCAGACATGTGCGGTGTTGGTGCCCCCAAGCCCCCCCACACACACACACACACCAGGCTTCTCTCTCCTTCCTTGGAAACTCACATTTTGGCCAGGACGTACCCCACAATCTTCCCGTTCTCATCCTCAGCGATGTAAGAGAGCTGGGTGACGGAGGAGAAAGAAGTCAGAAAACAGAAAAGAACTTCCTGTCAGGGGTGAGGAGCCCTTACAGGACACCTGCTCCCCCCCCCTCCCCTTCCGCCGCTAGCCTCTGGCCTCTCGCTGTGTGCATGACAGACAGAAGTCAATCAAGTGGAGAGTTCAGTGACAGCTCCTGAGCTCCCGGCCAAGTGGCTTGGTTTCCCCACCCCATACTGTTCCCCTGTCATTCGCTGGGAAGAGGACAGACGCAGGTGGGAATCCTCCCCATCCCTTGGCCCAGTTTTACCCCCTCCCCATCCCAAAGCACTCGCTCGTGCCAAACCAACGCCTAGTGTCCCCTGTGCCCAAATGCCCCAGCTGCCCACCTGGGGCCAGGAGAGGCCGTGGTAGAAGTAGTATTTCATCTGGTAGTTCTCTGGCAGGCACAGGAGGTTGCAGTGTTGCATGTTCATCAGGTCCTCCGGCTGCGGGGAGGAGGGCAGTGGAATGCAGTCAGGCCAGGGGCTGCGGTGACTAAGTAGGCCTCAGTCCTGTCAGAAGCCTGCTCGCTGCCTGTCTACTCACCGACACCCTCCACTCCCGCCCCACGCAGGGCTGGGCGGGCCAGTGACTGCCTGTCTTTACACGGGCCTGGCCCACAGGCGCTGGGCAAAAATCGTCTTTCCTGGAATGAACGTGGGTGCCACGGGGGGGGGGGGGCTCCCGGACACTATCCAACTGAGCCTAGACATCCCGCAAAGACGGGATTCGCAGCCCCAGCCTCCTCTTCGGGTAGGTCCAGTCCCCCGGGCACCGTGGCCTTCACTTCCCCGCGCTAGGCAGCTGGCCCGGGGCTCACCGGACCCCTTGGGAGCATGCGCACGCGGACACTGGGCCCGCACCCATGAGGCGCGGACAGCCTCCCGCCCTGTCCCCTCACCCTCGCATTGCGGATGTTCATAACGGCGGCGGGACTGCCGGCTCCCAGCGGGTCGTGAACGCGCAGTCAGCTGCGGCCGCGCTCGAAAGTGACGCCGGGACGGCCGGGGCTGGGGCCAGGCTCGCGGGGGCGGCGACGGAAGGGGCGGCGCGCGCCGGGACCGGCCACCGGCCGGAAGTGCGAGCCGCCAGACCCGCCTTCGCGGTCGCTTGGCCAATGGGGCGGGACGGCCGGCGGGCGGGTGCGAGGCTGTCGGGAACCCGGTTGGGACTGGCGGCGCGCCGGGATGATCCCGCGCGCGGGGCGGGCCACTGTCCCGGCGTGCAGGTGCCCTCCCAAGACCCCACACACGCGTGCACACGGACTGTGTAGCAAGCTGTTTTATTCCGCACCTTGGTGGGCGGGGACGGCGGGCAGGGACCCGGCGCTGGGGGCCGGGACCGGGGCGAGGCGGCTCAGCAGGGCGCCAAGCATCTCCTCACACATGGCGAGACACCGCGGCACGTGGAAGCAGCCTGTGGGGAGAATTGGGAGTGTCGGGGACAGCCGACTGCCCCGAGCCCCTGTGGCCCCGCCCTCTCCCCCACTCACCTTTGAAAGGACCCCCCTTGATGGTGAGGACGACCCTCCCCTCTCGGTTTAGGTAGCCAAACCATTCCCCGTACTCGGGATCGCGAAACTGGAATAACAATGAGACAGTGACAGCCAGCGCCTGCAGGACCCGCCCAGATGCCACAGGCCTGGGGAAGGGGCGGTCACCGTCTGGCTACCCGGGGTCAGGTTGACTCCGGGTAATATGGCTCCAGAATCAGTGCTCTTAAACGCGTACGGCGTCATGGACAAAATGAAATCAAAGGGCTTTGCCGTTTCCACTTTCTGCAGTGGAGTGTGAGTCTGCAGCTAAATAACCCTACTGGGGGAGGGGACGGCAGGCTGTGAGATGAAATACTGCAAGACGGATGGACTAAAAAGAACCCTGTTTGGGGATGACAGAAACATTCAATATCTTGATAGGTAGGGCTTATGATTACACAGATGTATACATTTTAGTATATATAAATTGCACTTCAATAAAATTGATTTAAAGAAAGAAACAAAGAGAACCCTGATGGAGGTGCTGACCTGTCACATAACTTTGTAATAGGTTCCCTGTTTCCCAGGCCTGTCTTCCAGCACCTAGATCTGACTCCTGCCTTGTTCCCCACAGGTCCCAAATGCACCTCCCCATCCCTCAGAGCCTCCTGCCCCTGCCCAGCAACAGTGTTGACCCTTCTGCATTCCTTCCTTCTCTCCAGCTCGCTTCCCATTGGGCACCTGTCCCCTGGAAGCTTGTCAATTCCTTCCAGACACCCCAGGACAGACCTCAGAGCCCTGACCTAGGCCCTTCTCTTTCCTCCCACGATAGAGGCTTCAGTGAGGTACAGCCCCTTCTCAAAAAGGTCATAGAGGCAATCAATGACATTGAAGTCTGCTACCAAAATATCTTTTTAAATTGGGGCCCATGTATTGGTGTATTTTCGTAGGGGGTAAAACTAGTTCTGTGTCTATTCATTCTTTCTAGCGACATGGTGGCCTTATTTTTCAAGTACTTAATCTGAACGGGAAGTAATTTAACCGTTTTCCTGTTCAGTTTTGCTGTGGATGTCTGAAATTTTACTTTATGTATTGTTATGTTGGTTAGTGCATGATTTACCTGTTGATAACTTGTGTAATTGTTCAACGCCATCTCTGTCTCTTTAAAATGTATTCCTTAAATTTCACTTTATGCAGTTAGAACTGGTGGCCTCTAACCCATGTTCTTTATGAATGCATTCAATATTAAGATATAGCCTTGGGTCTCATGACTCCTGTGTTTGGAAGTAGTGACAGGCATGAGAGATACTTGGAGATGCCTCTCTAAGTACAATGTAATATGAACATATCTGGGCTTTCTATTGGTGACAAAGTGGGGCATTGCTTATACCACTGTGATCACTGCCTCCATTCATAGTGGAAGTAAATGCTGGATTTCAGTTAGAGCTTAGTGCAAATAAAGATGTCATTTTCTCTCAGGTTTCGAAGCCCATAGACCCCAGAATGAGACTCCATTCTGGAGTTTACCAGTGGAGTGAGTTGTGGTTTTAGAAACATATCAAAAGTCTTCACTCATTCACCACCAGGCTCAGCACCTGAGGTGCCCCGTTGGCAGCGGCTGGTACAGCTCATCACTCTGCTCATGGCACTTTGGCCCCTGGCTTCCTTCCTACCTTGCAGCTGATTCCTGTCTCCTTTGCTGGGCCCGCCTATTCCCTCTTCTTCTTCTGTACTCAAAAGCTCACTTTGCCTCCTGGCTCCCAGGATCATCTATATTCTTAGGACACTCAGACAATCATGGCCCAGGCCTCTCCCACGTGACTAGACTCTGATCCATCTGTCCACTGCAGCTCCCACCCCAGGCCAGGCCCTCATCCTCGCTGGCCACAACCACAGCTACAGCTTCTTATCTCCCCACCTTTGCTGTGCCCTACAGCTTCCCATCCCGAAGGACCCAGTAATACCTGAATCACACAAGGTGACGACTATACAGAGCACCCCCTACCACCTTTATTCCCTCCCACAGCCCTGACCCTGCTTTAGTTTCCATAGTTCTCATCACCATCTCTATGTTCACTTATTTACTTGTTTATAGTCTGCCCCCCCCCAAAAAAACAAAACAAAACATGAGCTCCAGGGGAGCAGGGACCACTTTGTTGACTGAACAGAGGGCACTGGGGCCAGACCTCCAGGAACTCTCAGAGCAGCTGAGGGACCACACCCAGTGAAGGTGAACCTCCCCATCCCTATCCGGCCTCCTCCCACAGCCCAGAAGAGCCTGGCCCTGGCCTGCCTGGCAAGGAATGGCTGCCTGCTGTCTCCTCCACATCTTTGCTGAGCCCACAGAGAGATGTGGACCAGAGAACACACTTACCTGGTGGAAGGTGTACTCGGCCACCTGGTTGAAGAGATGCAGCAAGGCAGGGTCCCCGCTGTCACTGTAGCCCATGAGGAAGGCAATCATGGCTTCACTGTGTGGCCACCACAGCTTCATGGCCCACTCCAGCTGAAAGCAGAGCAGAGCCATCTCTGGGGGTCTGAATGACCCCTCAGAATGAGACTAGCTTCCTGACTCATTGCACCCCAAGTAGCCTCTTCCAAAGGGCAAGGGTGGGGCAGGCTTCTCTTTAGCCCTGTCTGTCTTGTCAGTCTGTCTAAAGGCCCTTGGACACTCAGCGTCTGCCGGTGGCAGGGTCAGCCACCCTCTGTGGATCTCAGCAGGATCAAGGCACAATCGGAGGCAACAGACATAAGGGAGAAAATCTGCTCCTACTGCTTGAAATCACCCAGAATGTCTTTCAAAGATGAAGGGGACATGTGTCTCTGCATCGGCATTGTTCGTGCTCCCTAGTGGCCTTCCTATGCAAATGAGGTTGAGTACCACTGGCACAGAAGTCAAGAGCTTACCACTGGGGTCACGTTGGGCTAGTTCACTGCTTTGAGCCCCAGGTCCCTCTCTATGAAAGCAAGCTTTGACTCTCCCAGGACAGAAAGCTTCGAACAGGTTAGTATCACGTGGCCCCGGGGAAAATTCCCACCTGGGTGGGGCAGAGGCCATCAGCATCCTGGAAGTAGAAGAGGCCTCCATGATCAGGATCCCATCCAGAACGGAAGGGCAACAATAGGAACTTGTCAACCACGTGGGCTCGAAGTTCAGGGTCACCTTTCCGGATGGCATGACGGAGCAGGAACCATCCGGCTTCCAGTGCATGGCCTGGGGAAGGCTCAGAGTAAGCAATCCTCCCCACGGCGGGAGGCTCAAGTCCCTGCGCTGACCACCTGACCACGGTGCCTCCTTTCCTCTTTCCCTACCAGTTGAAGCTGCTCTGAGCTCCCCCGCCCGCCTGACAGCTGCTCTCATGCGGAAAGCTTGCCCTCCCAGTCCATCCCAGACTTGCTTGCTTGCTGCTGACGCCCCAGCCTGGGAGGCCTGTCCTCCCTTCTGTGCCTGGTCCTTGGCTGGCGCAGGGTGGAGGGAGGAAAGTAGCCCCCAGGGGTTCCCCACATCTGAAGCCCAGGCCCCAGGACTGAGCCCTTTTCCTCCTGTGTGGCCCCCAGCCCACCCTGCCCCTCACCTGGGTTCTGGTGTCTCCCCAGGCAACCAGGAAGTTCCTCACCGTCCTTCGACACATTCTCCAGCACAGCCTGCCCATCCCTCTGCCAGGGGAGGAGCAGGAGAAGGTAATTCTGCCTTCAGCCCCAGATGCCCAACCAGAAAGACCCTCTGTCCCTCCCTCCATAATCTGCAAGCTTGGGCAAGCCTGGCTCAGAGGGGCATTTGAGCAGGGGCCGATTGACTCCCAAGAGCCTGGACGGGTTCTAACCCTGGCTTTGGACCTGGGCCCCCCAGGTTGGAAGGATGAAACATTGAAGGGGGACTGAGATTTGGGTGGGCTGTGCTGCCCACAGAGACCTGGAAGGACTTAGATCTGCCCGAGGTTCCTGCTCTCTGCCGTGCCTGGGGCTCTGCCACCCTCCCTCCTGCCCTTGGCCCCAGCCAGCTCCCTGGGCCCTCCACCTTCCCGAGGGTCCTAGGCCACGCCTCGCTCTGGCCAAGCCTCCCGTGTCTCCCCGTCTGTGAAGGGGACCATCAGGGCCCTGAGGGGTGGGGGTTGCCCTGTCCCCCAGTGCCAAGGTCCCACCTGGCAGCAGGTGTCAGCCTCCTGTCCCCCACCTGGACATGCTGCAGGATCCTCTGGGCGCACCAGTCCCCCAGCTCCGCGTAGTTGCCCGCCAGCTCTTCATCCGACTCCCCAAGCTGCTCCACCAGGTTGAGCAGCATCATGGGCACCGCCATGGACTCTGAGGCCGGGGCCCCCGGGAGCTGGGGCCGGCCCAGCCCCGATGGGTCCTCCTGCACCCAGTGTATGATCTGATCCATCATTTCCACTGCTTCAATCTGGGTGGGGAGAGGGGGGAGGGGAGGCGGGGGCTGAGGCTGCATCCTGTCCAGCCCAGTCCCAGGGCTCAGCCCTGAGGGGGGAGAGCCCTGTCCTTCCACCCACCCGCAGGACACCTTCCTTCACCAAGGACCTGCTCTGAGCCTGGCCCGGGTTGGGTTGCTGGGGGCCAGGGTGGACCTGCCCCACCCTGTCTCAGGTCCCAAGGGGCCCTAGGGAGGGGGGAAGAGTTCACAAGTGAAGGAGACATCTGGGGTGGGACATCCCTAGACACAGTGACAATACAGTGCCACAAGGAGGGTGTTGCAAGCAGCCCTGGAGCCTTGGGGGCCTAGAAGGATTGACGTTGACAACAAACTCCGCCTGCCGACAGGGCCCAGGTGGGGGCTTGCACACAGAGTGGGAATGCATCGAGTGGCCAAGCCCAGCACAAGCAAGGGCACAGAGAGTCACAGGGCAGCCTTGCTCCCACACACCTGGTAATGCGCTTCCCCTGTCACTCTCCACAGCTCGTTCATGGCCATGGTGTAGAAACACTCACTAAAGATGGTTCGCTGCACCTTGACGGGGCGGCCATCCCGTGTCAGCACAAAGGCACATTTTTTCCCCGGAGGTGCCACTCGGGCATAACGGAGCAAAAATTCGCCACCTGGTGGTTGGGAAGTTGGTATGTTAGAACTTAGGTTAGGACAACCACCCCCCTCCCCCATCCTTCCCACCTGTGAGTGGCCCCAGGCCCTTCGCTGTTTCTAGACCCTCCTAGGAAGTAGGAATAGGTGAGCTATTGAGTCGACTTGCCCTCTGGGGACATAGGGGCAGGGTGGGGTACCTGCTTTAGCTGAATCTAGGAGTTCCAGGCGGCGGAAGCGCTCAAACTTGCGGTACAGATAACAATACATCCACACCTGTGGAGGAGCAGAGAGACTATGGCTTAAGCCGGGAGCAGCAGGGTCCTCTGGGCTGGGATGAGGGCCACTCCTAGGTGCCTTTGTCTCAGGAGAAAGAGTACTAAGATGATGGGCCTTGTGGCGAGTGTACGCTCGCGGACAGGACTGAGGCAGGACAGGCCACGCTGATTCTGGCTTCCGCCCCCGGAAGAGCTGCACGCCTGGGCACATTCCTACCTGCCTCCCCTGCAGCCAGACATACTTGAGGTCGTCATACACCCGCCCATCGCGGCCAAGGCATGTGAAGAAGCCCCTGTGGGATGCAGCAGCATTAGCACAGGGAGATGGGGCCTTGCGCTCCCCCACAGTCTGCTGGGCCCAGCAGTTCTGAGTCTGCTGAGAGTGAGGTGGGGGCTCCCGGAGGGCAAAGCCCCTGTTCAGGCGAGGCGCACCCATGCTCCTGGTCGTGGGAGTGCTCCATCCAGAAAGCCACCACACGGTCCAGCTCCTGCCCCACACGCTCCTTCCAGGCCTGCAGAGTCTCCCGCTCCTTCTCCATGTCCTGGGGAACTTGGAACTTGGAGGCGCAGCTCCCCCACAGACCTCCCCATCTTCCTGGGTCCCAGCCTCCTCCACGGCCTCCTCTGTATCTCAGGTCACCCCAGGCTCGTGTGCGCACCGGGGCCGCCTGACCCGTCTCCCCCAGGCTTTGGGGTTCCCCTACCCGTGTGCAGGGCTGCCCTCCAGCCCGGGTCCCGCCCCAGGACTGACCCCACCGAATCGGGGACCCTCCAGGACAACAACCTCCCCTCCACCGGCCCCATCACTGGCCTGCCACACTCGGAGACCCCCGCTCATCCCTCCCTCTCCTCCAGGAAGCCAGATGGAGCTGGTCGAGGTCCCGTGACTGTCACTCAGCTGACCCAGCCTCGCCCCACCCACCCCCTCCTCCGGGGGTTCCGCAGGGCCCGGGGCGGGGCCCGAGACGGGAGGCGGGGCTTGGATACGGCTCGGCTCCGCCCCCCCACTTGGGCCCCCAGCGACCCTCGGGTGGCAGAGCCCCGCGATGGCCGCTGTTGGGGTTCCTCGGCTTTAAATCCTCCTGGTGAGACATGCTGAGTGCGCTGGCAGGACGATCTGGGGCGGGGGGTGGGGGAATGCGGGGTCGGCTCTCCCCTCCCAGCCACCTCTCCCCACCCTCGAACTGAATCCTGAGAGGGGCCCTAGTTGGGGGCTCTGGGCAGGGCAGAGAGACCGAGGGCGGTGGCCCCAGCAAGGGCATGAGGCACAGGTGCAGTAGCAGAGGGGACGGCTAGAAATGCGTAAACCGAGGCTCCTTTGACCTGTTACCCTACAGGGTGGGCAACTCCTCTCAGATGAATCAGTGCCTCATCAAATGCTTCAGCGGTCAGTATCGGTCGACTGTTGGCTTTGACTTCTTCGCCCAAGTGATGCAGCTCGAAGGCCAGACAGCAACTGTGCAGGTAAGAGTGGGCATCTGAGGACTTCTCTGCCCGCAGGCCCCCAAAGTTCACCAGGCCTGGCTTTCAGTGCCTAGATGTGGTTTGCATAGCTCTATGACTGTCTGACCTGACCAGGTGCTCCAAACAAGGCCGGCTGAACAACTGTCCCCCACTTTCCCTGCCAAGGGAGGAATTCTGTGGAGGGAGCGTTCCAGGGGGCAGATCGCCAGAGGGCCCTGAGCTCCCAGCTTGGACTCCAGCGTTGGTTGTCCCTTCTTCCATTATGAGGGATTGCAGCCCAGGAGTGTAAGTGGGCCTCTACCTCATCAGTGCAGCTATGACATGGCCAGCACACAGAGGTTCTGGTGCCTGGGCGGCACCCACTGCTGTGTGCTGGTCTTTGATGTCACAATGGCTTTCTCCTTCCAGATTCTGGCTTCTTGGCAGGCAGAGTTCCTGCTGCAGGCTGACCTTCCCAACCCCCCAAAATTCACCTTTGTGATGTTTGGGAATAAGATTGACCTCCCTGGCCAAGGGCATAGGCAGACCTCAGAGATACTTTGGGTTCTGTTGCAGACCACTGCAATAAAATGAGTTGTAATCTTTTTGCTGACGGAAGATCTTGCCTTCAATTTGTAAAAGACCCAACATCTGTGAAGTGTAATAAAAAAAGGTATGCTTGTACGCTGTAGCTTCTCTGTGTCGCTGTCGCCTTACAGCTATTCTTAGACCACCTCCCCTGCATTAGCCTCTGACCCATTAGTCGAGAGAGTGTCTCGGAAAACTGAGGCCGGATGGAAT